GAAGTTTATTCCCTAATAGTCCCTTGCCTGAGAAAGGCTTCATTATGTTACCTCACTCAGAGCACGGGCATTGGGTAACAGCAAGAGCCCCGGGGAGGAAAGCAGCCCCCTTTCTGCGCAGACCCAAGGTCCTCACCTGCTGTTACAGGATCACTCTGCTCAGACAGGCTTTCCCGAAGGGCACCTGGGGGAATGACACTCTGTAAACCAGCTATGGAGAAGGGTCAGGAATGGAGGCCAGGTGGCACTGTTGCAAAACCAGCTTTCGCACGCTGACCTCGTTTGAAATAAACAGTGTTTTTCTGATGCTAGGTAAAGACAGGCAGGGCTGGGACTAGGGTGAGGGGAGCAAGGCATCACCTTCGGTGCAGAATTTGCAGGCACCAGGTAAGCCCAGCAGTCGCGCGAGTGGACTCATGACTTTGGAGGGTCTGCGTGAAGCAGAACAAGCAAAGGAGCCAGGCCGTAGTCAGGGAGAGGAGGAGCTCGTGGCTCTGTGGCCCTCAGCCAGGGTCTGGTTCTTGTTTGTAAAGTGGGCTTAAGGCTGGTCCGACTACCTCATGGGGGTTGCTAGGACCAAATCAGATCTTGTTCAGGAAGCATTTGATGAGCCCTAGCCTATGGCATCCCGGGCATGTATAATAATAATGTAAATAATGTAAAAATGTATACTAATGGTGCTGGGGATTGTCGCAGGGGGCGACAGGAACAGTCCTGGAGAGGAAGGGAGAAAAGGCAGGAGAGGAGACGGGCGGACGGATGGGGCGAGCTGTGTGGTGGGAAGGGCGAGGAGCCCAGAGCCTGGATTCTGACCTGGATTCGAGTTTCAGCTCCGTTATTTACAACTGGCAGAGCCTTGGCCCATTTCCAATTTCTCGGAGCTTCAGTCTTCTCAGTCTTAAAATGGGAACCATAATGAATGACCATGAAGTAGTGTGTGCACAGCGCACAGTTTAGTCTGGTGCAAGCTGATGTGGACCCCTTCCACCACCCCCCCACACACACACTCACACACACACACTCACACACTCACACACTCACACATACTCACATTCACATACTCACATTCACACACACATTCACATACTCACACTCATTCACACACACTTTCACACTCACATGCACTCACACTCACACACTCTCACACACACTCACTCACACTCACCTCCCTGCATTCCCACACCCCCACTGCCAGCTTCTCCCATGAAGAGAAAAGAAAAAGGAGAGAAACAGGAGAGGCAGGAAGAACATAAGCCAAGGGAAGAGGCCTGAGGGGGAAAGAGAAACGGAAGGAGGTGAAGGAAGAGAAGACAGTGGGGACACTGAGGGCCTGTCTTAGGCTGAGAGCTCTTGGAGAGCGAGTCAGTTCTAGTTTCCTGGGAAACATCCATGGAGAGAATCAAACTCAACAATGCTTTTAAATTTTACCTGTGATGACACACATAGCTCTGGTTCATTTGTTTTACCTGCAATAGAATACTCTAGAACATGCCTCCATTGATGTAGCCATTCCCCCAAGGGTGGACACCTAAGCTGTTTCAAGGGGGCTTCAATGGTATCATAATATTTTATTTCCGAAGTTGGGTGGACGGTATGGAGAAGTTCAATCTATTGGCCTCTTTTTTCTATGTCTGAAACAGCCAAGCTCATCTAGAACTCCTACTGGGTCGGCCAAACTTCCAGGCCTTGCCCTTCAGTTCAAAGGCAGACGGGGTTTCTGGGGGTGGATGAGGCAAGTCACATGAAGGGTCTGAGCGAGTGGACAGGCTGCAGGTGTCTGCCCAGCAGCCACCCTGCCCCACACGGGGACAGTGCCCCTCGTGGCTCTCTGCCTGCCCTGGGGGAGCAGAAGTCCAGCCACACTGATACTCAGCTTGAAGGCTTGTGGCGACTCAGACACACCCACTACCCGAGATCTGGCCCTGAGCTGGAAGCCCCAGGATTGGGCCCCACAGGCAGTTCCAGACCCAAGGCTGGGATTTCTGGGAAGCCTCAGACAACAGATACTTCAGGGAAAATAGTTTTCTCCTAGACTAGCTGAGCTCTTCAGAGCCAAATCTCTGTAGCTTTCATAATTGGACAAAGGGGAAAGCTGTTTGTAAGCTTGGGGAGGTCAGTCTGTGCATATTCTTCTAAAGAACAGGGAAAAGAATAAGTGTCAAGAATCCAAAAGAGCCCTGGATGGGTAGCTCGGTTGGTTGGAGCATCATCTTGATACATCAAGATGCTGGTTCGATCCCTGGTCAGGGCAATACAAGAAGCAACCATAAATGCATAAATAAGTGGAACAACAAATTGATCTCTCTCTCTCTAATAAATAAATAAATTAATTAATTAATTAAATAAAATGTTTAAAAAATAAATCTTCTGAAAACAGTTCCTGTTCGCCTTTGGGGTGTGTTGCTCCTTCCCTTCTCTCCCGAGTAGATGTCTTAGAGACTATTTGCTTTGGCTATAATCAAAATCGGTCTGCATTCTCCAGCATCCACTTGCTCTGTGGGGTGATCATCTCTCCTAAGGCGGCTGTGAGGGCTGAGCATTGGCCTCTAACAGTTGGTATGCTGCATGGACAATCCACCAATCCACCACTCAGGCCTGGGATATAGGGCAGGAACTAGGGTGAGGCGACTGAGGCACTGGCATTGCGCACAAAGTTTAAGGGGACACCCAAAAACTCAGTAATTGAGACAAGTAATACTTTAGTGCAATATTTTTAAAAACCAAAGTTAACACCAAAAAATTCCATGATGAACAAAATGTCATTTCAAATAAAGACAGGGCCCATGCAGAAGCCCTCAGGTTGAGTTTAACTGGAAAGTGAATCAGTACTATCTCTGCAGATCGGGGATACACCTCCCAGAAACATGCATCTACCCACAGCAGGGTGGCATAATCTGGTCGCCACCAAACAGGGCCACCCACAGGCCCCTGCACAGGGACGGAGGCACAGCACCGGCCCCTTCCTCCTGCAGGCTGCTCGGCCTCGCCCCGCCCGTCTGCACAGCCTGTTCAGCCAGGCACAGTGCACGCCATGTGCAGTGACCCGTCCAGAGGTCCCGACTGACTGCTGGAGGACGTTTTATTTCCGTAATACAAAGTTGTTTTTTCCTAAATGAATTGCTTGCCAACATTTAAAAATTGGAGATGTTCACAGAAAATTCCAAATTTCTAGACTGTCTTTAAAAATCCAGATTTTCAGCTCATCGTGAAGAATCCAAATGTTTGGCAAGTGATGAGACAACAATAAAAATGATTTCTGTTTATTGAGAATACGCTCAATGACGAACACAATGCGCAACACTTCATTCTCTTCTTTTAACCCTCGCAGCAGCTCACACTCACTACCCCCATTTTACACATGATGAACCTGAGGCTCAGAAAACTTAAATGTGTTCAAAATAACACAGCTAATAAGCAGCATGGCCAGATTCAGACCCAGGGAGTTTGACACTAACGTCCATGCTTTCGTACTTCTGTATCTTCCACCCTGCTGGGGGCATGGACTAAATTACCAGTTCCAAGAATCCTCGAAGCCTCCGGGTGAGTAGAGAAGGGAGGTTGGCTCGGTCGCCGAGGCTCCTGCATCTATCAGAGAAGTTTGGTTTTGTTTTCCCCATAATTTCATTTTTGGAGTCCTGCTCAAACTTTGTTTTGAAAAGGAATTCCACTGCTCAGAAACAAAAATGGAACAAAGCCACAAGCCCAAATGGTCTCCTTTTCATGTCCTTTCCAAGGTACTATGATTGCCTGGATCAGCAGATCCTCCCCTATTCCCCACTTACCAGGTATCTCCATGTCATTGCATCACTTCTGGCTCTGCCTTTGAGCACTTGGGTGCTGGTTGGACTGCCTCGTACAACTGGAGACTGGCCAAGTGTCCAGAGATTCAGGAGCCACGGAGCCATGGACCTTTCTCCAAGACCTGCCGAGGGTAGACAGGGAAAATTGTGTCTGCCTGTAGCACGTGCTGAGTGAGGAAGGGGGATGGGGTGAATGGAGGAAGCTAAAAGCCACTGAGTCTGCCTCCCTTAGGTGAAGTCTTTTATGGGTCATCCTAAATTGCAGCCCTGTCATGGTCGTCCAGATTCTTCAGTGAGTGTCAGGAAGGACGGCCTCAAAGGCAGCACAGTGTGGTGGGAAGAGCACCAGGCAGGATCCTGAGCTGAGCTCTGTCACTGTCTGGCACTTCATGACCTTGGATATATATGAAAAGTGCACTGCATCTCTCTCCATACCTTACCCAATCGTCCTAGGAACACAGGGAGAGTACTTTAAAAAGCATAAAGTGACATGAGAATGGATTATCTGTTTTAAGTACATGCATGTGGTCTGACAAACGCAACCAAAGAAAAAGTACGAGCCTCCCAACCGTCTTGGAGGCCCGGGCTGCTGGAGTCAGTCTTTCCAACGCAATCCCAGCCTTGGCTTCAACTGCCAACGACGTGCCAATGACTCGCGAATCCACAGCCTGCTCAGATCTCTTTCCTGAGAGTCTAGCCTGTGATTCCTACTCTGTATCAAAGGTACATCTCACCTGGATGACCCACGCACTCTCCAGCAATTTCTAAAATGGAGCTCCTCGGCATCCCCGAGAGCCGCTCCTTCAGAGGTGCTCTGTCTTTCAGGAGCTGGCATCTTTATCCCCACACGCCGGAACCGTGGGAGCCATCCCTGCGTCATTCCTCATGTTAACCCATGTCACGGTTCTGTCGATTCAGTCTACCCCTCGAGGAGCTCTTGAATCTGTCTACTTATCTCCAGCTCCAATGGTGTAACCCTGGACCCTCATCTCTGGACTCAATGATGACAACTGCCACCTACTGGTTTTCCTGCTTCCACTCTTGTCCCCCATCCCGTCTCATGTTCCAAGTCACTGAACAGACTCCTCTGAAACACACACACACAGAACGATGGTCTTTCTAAAACACAAGTCTGGTCATCTTGTCCTCAAGCTTAAATCCCTGCAGTGGTTTCCCATGTGTCTTAGGATAAAGTCCTCCCTTTCCTGTGGCATGCTAGGCTAGCCCCTACCCGTCTCTCTAGCCATCTCTACTCTTAACATTCCTGCCAAACTGCACCTCTTTCAGTTCCCCAGACAGTTCTTTCTCTCACCTCCACTCCTTTGCACGTGTCCCTCCACCTGCTGAGAACATACCCGCTGTGATGGTTCACCTTGTGTGTCAACCTGACTGGGCTAAGGGATGCCCAGATGGCTGGCAAACATTATTTCTGGGTGTGTCTGTGAGGTATCTCTGAAAGAGATCACTTGACTCAGGAGACTGAGTAAAGATCACCCTCATCAACGCAGGTGGGCATCACCAATCAGCTGAGGGTCTGAATAGAAAAAGGTGAAGGAACAGCAGATGTGCTGCCTGCTTGAGCTGCGACATCCATCTTCCAACCAGACTCATACCATTGGCTCCCTGGTTCTCAGACCTTCGGACTCAGATGGAATTACACCACCAGCTTTCCTGGTTTTCGTGGGATTTCTCAGCCTCCATAACTGCATGAGCCAGTTCCTATAATAAGTCTCCTCGTATATCTCTCTCCATATTTCCCATTGGTTCTGTTTCTCTGTAGAACCCTGACCCATACACTCCCACGAACTCCTCTTCATCCTTGGGGCCTCAGCTTAGGTAGAACTTTATCCAGGAAGCTTTCGCTGACCTTCCCAACCGAGTTAGATGCTCCTCTATTGCTTTGCCATGGGCACCTTGTCCTATCTTCATTTTAGCTCCTACCCTAATGCACATGCTGGAATTTCTTGTTGACTTAACTGCTTTTCCTATCAGGCTGCTACTGCATGAAAGTCAGCACATATTCTGTTTTACATTTTTATCCCCTGGACCTAGGTCATAGCCAGGCACATACTATGTGCTCAATAAATTTTATTTTTTCTGATTACAGTGATCAGACTACCAAACGTATGAGTTGACTTTTAACAGAATTATTGAGAATGACTACCAGGAAAGAGTGTGTTTGCTAAGGAAAATATTTCAGTCAGATACGCAAGTCAGACTGTGCTCTAACAATACCAAGAACTGACTATTAACCCCTTGGCAGTTTGTTTCCTAGAAGTGCACATATTTTAGAGTTTGTTTGTGTAAGCTGTGAAACAAAATCTCTTTCTATGTATTTGAGACCTTTCTGAGTTTCATTTAATGTCTTTTTGCCAGACTGACATGGCTTCCAAGCCTTGTCTGAGGTCTCTGTATTTTGTTGTGACTTTCCCTACTGTCCACTCATTAAAAGCCCTGGTGTTAGATTCTCCCCCTGATGACAATTTCTGGAAAAGAGCTGTCATTAAAGTATATCTGTGGCTGCTGTAGAGAGGTAGGAGAAGTGCAAGGCTTTTATTTTTCCTTTTTAATCAATGTTTTGACCTCCCTTTTGTCCAGAGTTTCCCGACATTGGTTATGCTATTTTAATTATTGATTTCCCAACACATTTTCTCTTATTTTCAAACAGAGGTAAATGATAGATTCAAAATGCATTGGCCCCCTCGCTGCTGAGACTACAGAAAGTGAAAAGACCTGGATTCGGGTCTTAACTACCATTTATAAGCTTGTGACCTTGGTAAACCCCTAACCTCTCTGAACTTCAGCTTTCGCCTCTGCAAAGTAAGAACACCAGCCTCACACCTTACTCTCTGCCTGGAGCGTGGAAAGCTCTGTAGAAATGCTGATACCCTTCCCAAATAGTTCTGCTATTAATTATACTCATGACCATGCAATGGCCCCTGTGGAATCTCTGTGGGTTGAAATGACTTTCTAGGATAATAAATATGTTAATAGAAGCGATTATCAGCCAGTCTTGATGTCCACACTCACCCCAGCGGCTAAAGCTTTTAAGACTCATGTTCTATGAGAGGATTGTTTGCTTTCTCCCATCCACAGCGATACTCACATACTCTGCTCCTTCTTGTGGTCGTGGGGAAGGGAAACCTCATCCCACATAGAAAACTGAGTCACTGACCCTTCTCAGTACTTGAACTCTGGCTCCAGAATCCAGGACCACTGTTAGTAAAAACAAAACCATGAGAAGAAAGTGAAGGATGCAAAGCCAACAGTGAAGAGTCGAAAACTCTGGAGGCAGAAAAATATAAGCAGCAAGGTGTAAAGCCCTGGCGGGGTGGCTCAGTTGGTTGGAGCACTGTCCCATGCACCAGAAGGTTGAGGGTTCAATTCCCAGTCAGGGCACATACCTAGGTTGTGGGTTTGATCCCTGCTCAGGGAGAGTAGGGGAGGCAACCAACTGATGTTTCTCTCTCTCTCTCTTTCCCTTCTGCTCTCTCTAAAAATCAATGAACATATACTCAGGTGAGGATTTAAAAAAAGAAGCAAGTGTATGGCCATCTTAGCTTGGCAGTTGGACATCTAATAGATTTAGATTTCCAAACGCTGATTCCTGACCTTAGCCCAGCACCTGGACCTTACAGAGATCTTTCACAGCTAATATCTCCTTTCATCCTTACCACCATCCTGAGATATTAGCAAATATGATTATACCCATTTTTCAGAAGGAGAAACTGAAGAGAGTGTGCCGAGATTGCACAAGCTGTGCAGGATGCAGCTGGGACCTTACCTCGGGCTTCTGGTTCTAACACCAGTGTTTTTTCTACCACATTCTTTGCCTCTCCTACAGTTGGAGAAGAGGAAGATTCCAATCAATTTTAGAGGGAACATATACTCAGGAACCTCTTCCCAGTGCCACACAGGAAAAGCATCAAAGTGGGGTTTTAAAAAAAGCCTACACCCCATGCCCACCCATTAACTCCTGGGATACAGTCCCCTCAACTCTGCAAAGAACAGGTAGCAACCACGATTCCAAGTCTCCTCTCATGTTTTATTTCTTTATAACTAAATGTATATCTTTGGCTATTTTAACATATAACCCAAACACCTGTGAAATGCTTTAAAAAACTGCATTTCAGCAGCAATTATGGTATCTTTGACTCAATGTGACTACTATGGCTGAATTTAAAAGTTGGGATTTTTTGTTCATGGCTCCTTGGAAATAGTCCTCACTAAACCTCAGTCAACTTTTCCATAGTTCACTTTTCTGAAAAACAGAGATGACAATACTTCTGTACAGGAAAAAAGGAATTTTCAACTCCTTCCCCTCTGCCACCTCGCCTCTTCCTATCCTCCCCGCCCCAATCCCAGGGGAAGAGGAATTGCTAATCTGACGGCTCAGAGTCTGGGACCAAGATAGGCCCGTAATTAGTGGGCACAGTTGCTGTCCCTGGGAATGGTTCTCCGTCTTTTCTACTATGCAGGACAGGCAAGTGGGCCCAGACCTCACTCTCCACCTCCTCGAGGCAGGTGCTCAGGGAGATACGTCAAATTACTAGTCAGTTTATTTTCTCTGCCATTTGTCATCGTCCTTCCATGCACCCTTCTTGAGAGTACTAAGATCCCAAGATTTAAATGCAGGAAGGAGTAAGAGGCTCTGTTTTGGCCTCAGGCCTGAGTCATATGCTTCTATTCTTTTTTTATAATGGGGGTATTAGATGGTGGCTCGGCCAATAAAAGGCAGTACTGTCTATTTGACTCATGCCTTCTGCCTGTCTCTTTCTACAGAACTATGGTATCAGTCTCCACGACCTCCAGGGAGCCCCCACTCCTGGTATTCATGCCTCTTTGTGACCCCCCCCTCACACTGTACCAGGACTGACCAGTGTGGCCAAATAGACTATGGCACAAGTGCTGCTAGCACCTTCTGAGCCAGCTATGAAAGACTGTGGCTTCTGTTTCGGCTGCTCTCTCGAATCATTTGCTCTGGTGAAAGCCAGCTGCCATATCTTGAGAAGCCTGTGGTGAGGCCTCTGTGATTCCTGCCTAGAAGGAATCCTTTCTCTCCTCTTTCTTCTGTATTAAAGTTAAATAGTATGCATATTTTAAATGTCAAAAGCATAGGGTTTGAAATTTCAGTAGAAGCCAAATGTAGCAATCAATGGGTTGATTTCATAGACATTTAAGATCACTGTGTGCAAAAATTAAAGACAAGTCTAAGAAAGCTCTTGAACTTAAATAGGGGTTTCTATTCTGTCTCTGTATTTGTCCTAATAGTTTTAGTTCTGTTGTGTACCACAGAGTAAATCCCTTCTTCATAATGCAGAACTTAATTTTTTTCACTTCTTTGTCTATATATGTAATTAAATTATATCCAATGTTTATCAAATTACACTTAATTGAGATGAATATTTTGGACCAAAGATGTATTAATTCCAAGTCTCTTACTGTTGACACTTTGGGTCTGATTTTACTCAATTACACAGCCCCCCCGAGGTTGGCAGACGTTAATTCCAAAGACTGAGTGACCTCTAAGAAGCAAGAGAAATGAGAAGAAAACAGTCTGACGTTTCACTTGTTTCCTAAATCTGGATTCTCAGAATTGAGCTAACATTGCACCAAAGGGCCCAAGATATCTGCTCCAATCTTCCTGTGCACTCCTTCTTCCCTTGGAGACAAATCAGTCTTCAGAAGTTAATCAGTTGATTTATATTTAAGTGTTATAGTAAGAGGCTAGGGAAGCTTGGGGCAGGAGAAATAGGGAAACTGAGGCAGGAAAATTAAACAAAGCCAAAAAGCTTTGCAGGCCACTCATAGCAGGGCTTTCTCTTGAGAACAAGGGTTAAAACCTCTCCTTCTCAAAAAGAATGCAGGAGAGGAGGGGGGAGGGAAGGAGGAATGCTAGTTCAAACTAATCAGAGAGACTACTGAGTGTGAATCAGCATCTCGAAGCTGTTCAAAGAGCAGAGAGGAGGGAAAGAGAAGAGTGCCCATTGTTTAAACAGTGGAGTCAGTGGTCTGGGGCTTGTCAAGATAAAGTTACCAGGTACTTCTCATAAATTGTGGGAAAACTGTAACAAAGAGTTAATCTGTACCAAGGTATCTGGCAGAGGGATTTTTTAAAACTTACAGACAAGAGGGTATAAAAAACAGAAACCCCCCATCCCACGTGATCTTCAGATTAGCTGAGAGCCCGTCTGTCTGTGCTTCACAAGTCAGATGTGTAGACTTGATTGCCTTCGTTAATAAATGTGTACGCTTTAATTTTCTATTCACTTGCTTTAATGTTTTAATAAATTCATTTCACCACAACACAGTCAATATCTCTCGTATAAAATCATTTCCATGAGGAAACAAGAACTGAGGCTGGGAACAGCCCTCTCCCCTTGGCCAGGGTGCTGTCCCACAACACGGCTCTGGTGCCTGTGAGAGGCACCTGTCACATTGGTACTGAAAAGTTCAGCAACTTTAACTCAGAAAGAGGCCAAATGTATTTTAAAGAAGAAAATTTAAAAGAAAAATGGGGGAGTTATCAGAAGGAATAGGTACGAATAGGCATTATGTTCATGATGTATCTAAAAAAGTTCTGAAATTAGTCAAACCTCTATATACAAATTGGGGTGAGTGTGTATATATGTATGTATGTGTGCATGTATGTGCATGTTAAATTATATATATATATATAAATATTATGTATGGATGTATTTTTAAAAGCTCCCACTTCTCTGGTATAGGGATAATCTCCCAAGGAGCCATTTTATCAGAGCACACAGTTCTATTTATCCAGTTTCTGAGGATCAGCCTCAGGGGACTTTATGTAATACATATTGGCTACAATACAAGGCTTCTCTACTTAAGCCAAACGTCCAAATTGTGATCTAGTGAGACAAACAGTGCCTTCTCTCCTGCACATGCCAGTGTCTGCGTGTGGGGTGGAATATGGCTTTGGTAGTGAGAGAGCCAATTCTTTAGAAAATCCCCTCCTTCTTCCTAGATGATTCTGGCATTTAGATGTGCGACAAACAAAAAGAAAAGAAAAATGTTTTTCCTTGGAATCCACAAAAAAAAATTTCTAATTTTCTTTTTTCTTTTTTTTTTTTAAGTGCTACAGAACACACAAAAAACAGGGCACATTTCTAAAAAGCTCTGACATATCTATTAGCCACAATCTTTTTTGTGTTAAGACAGACCAGCCATAGAAATATTGTTACTCCAAAAAAAGTGCTGTCTGAATCTTTTTGACTTCCTCCTTGCAAGGATGACTTGGGCTTTGTTAAATAATCACCAGAAGACAAAATCTCTTGCTTTGGGGAAGACAGGCCAGTGGAGGTGTGACTGACTTTGTCACCTTGATGTGGTCACAGAGGTATCAGAGGTTGACCATGCAGCCAATGGTAAAAAATGATAATTATCTAAAGAAAAGTACAGGAATAGTGCCTTTACTTTCTTAGAACTGGGAGTTGGCTTCCTGGGACCTTCCCCCCTACTTCTAGCTTCAAAAAATGAGTTGCTGCCCGGCCGGGCGTGGCTCAGCGGTTGAGTGTCAACCTAGGATCCAGGCGATGGGGGTTCAATTCCCGGTCAGGGCACATGCCCGGGTTACAGGCTCGATCCCCGGTCAGGGGCATGCAGGAGGCAGCCGATCAGTGACTCTCTCATCATTGATGTTTCTATCTCTCTCTCTCCCTCTCCTTTCCTCTCTCTGAAATCAATAAAGATCTGTTTAAAAAAAAAAAAAAGTGAGTTGCTAAATATTCAACTTGGTTTTTGCTAAACAAGTCACCTACTGAGACTATTGGTCCTCACTGAGGACAAGAAATTGAGACCATTTCTGAGAAGGCAGACTATCTATCATTCGGTTTGGTTCTAACAAAAACAAATGTACTTAAACCAGTGGGGAAGAGGGGACTTCCCAACAGAGGCCAACTAGAATTGGTATCGATTCCAAAAAAGGGTTGCCGTTAAAGCTACAAGTGCAATTGAGAGGTATAAAGAGATCTTTTGGTTCAAAAGGGGATCAGAAGACTGGTTGGTCTCCAGACATCAGTGAATGAGGCAAAATTTGTGTAGAGTGTATTCAGAAGCAGAGCTGGGGGGCAGGGAGAATGTGTGGGGACAGTGAGGGGACTCGATGCTCTCCTGTTCCCATGTTCCCAAAGGGGCACTTTTCAACCACATTTTAGAGTCGCAGTTGTTAAGGTGATCATGGAGGATGTTAGAGGAAACAGAATGAAAGAGCAGGACACAGTCTCTCACCCCTAGGCTTGCTTCCTACTGTTAGAATCTAACAAGAACCAGTCATCTCTTCCCCAACCTCCAGAGAGACTCCAATTCCAGGGCCAGAGCTGCTGTGAGAATAATTAGAATAGCTGTATTCGAAGCCTTCCTTGGGGGCTCCTACTTTGCTCCTAGGTTACAGAGTGAGTGCTTCGGAAGTGCCCGGCCACCCACCCTTCTTCAACCCGGAGAAAAGTGAGTGAGCTCCAGGTGGCGGGCAGAGCTACCGAGCTCCGCCCTCGCAAATCCCAGGGAAATGGGATGCGTAGACTAGGACGAGGGCCTCAGCGGTACCTAGAAAATGAAGAATTAGCTTCTAGGCACGCGGAATTGCTCTCCCACTCAGAAGTTTGTAAGCACGTATGCAAGAGAGGAAGGAAATGGCATCAGTCATGTAATTTAAACTTAAATGAAGAATAACATGCACATATTTTAAGAACAAAAATGATTTCTAGAAAAATACGTAAATAAATATTTCACATAAAAAGGGTTAAAAATAGAAAGATTAGCGTAAAATGTGCTTCTATATCATATAAAAACTCAAAACTATAGGCGACTTGAACAAAAGAGGTTTTTACTCACATAAAATAAGCCTAATAAGTAGTTCAGGGACAGCATCATCAGAACCCTACCCCCTAAATGTCTGCACTGTCACCTTTAAGTCATCTCATAGTCCAAAAGGGCTGCTGGAGTCCCACCCATCATGTCCACATTCCAGATCATATAAAGGACCAACGGGCATTCATAACTGAGGCAGCATCTTTTACCGCGAATCCTTGGGTCCCACTATGTCTCATTAGCCAGAACTTTGTCACATGCTCATACTTAGGGCGAGAGAGGCTGGACATTTAGTCTCACATACTATAGGGCAACGTATGCTGAGCTGAAAATCAGAGCTGTTTCAAAGGAGGAAGGGAAAAGTGGATACTGGGAGGCCACTAGCAGGATCTGCACAGGATAGCAGCTTCCTCATTAGAAAGGTTCAGTATTGTAAACATTTAAATTTCCTCAGGTAAATCTACAAGTTAAAAAAACAAACAAACACTTTTTTTCTCCTAATATTAAAAATTGAGATAACACTTGGTACAATAGAACACACAGACCTTAACTGTTACAGCTTAATGAGTTTTCACAAATCCAGGACGCCTGGGGCAGAGCTCCACCCTGCCAGCGGGAGTCTGGGTGGGGGAAGCATCTTGGTGCTTTCTGCGCTGTGTCCCAGCAAGAGAGCTCCTTCTGCAAGGACCTAGGGAGGGTTAAAAAATGTCAGCAGCCTGCCCCTCTAAGGAAGAAACTGTAGTCCTAGACTAAGAGCTGGGGGGGGG